TCAAATTTGTGTAATTTTTTCTTTTTTTGGAATTTACAAATCTCTGATCAAACAACATAAACAATGAAGTGCAAAATTTATTTCATTTTTTTAATGTAAAAATTTCACTGATTAATTTAAACATCTTTATGAGCTTGGCAGATCTGAATGAAAATTGATCGACTTATCAAATTGTGATGACTCAATTTTATCCTTTTAATTTCAGTTGCTTCACCGCTGAATTCTGCTCTTCTTCCACAATCAGTTTCTTCCAATTTTTTCACACAGTTTGTCAAACTTTTTTCTTCATTATTTCTTGTTTTATGAATGAGTGAAAAAAGTTCATGCTATAATTTTTGTCAAAAAAATTTTTGTAAAAAATCATTCGAACAAAAAAAAAATGATTTTCAATCATACAACATAAGATTTATATTTATATTTATCGATTGATTTATGAAAGTGATTATTCAAATTTTAATCAGATTTTTTACTCAGTAAACTGATAAAATGACTTACTAAAATTAATTGGAAAGATTGTTATCAATTGCTTCTATTAAGCTATAAATATACATATCAAAAAGAACAAAATATAAAATATGCATATTAAAGATGAGTTGAGGCATATTCATTAAACGCATTAAATTAATCAAAGATATTAAATTAAATAAAATAGATTTGAAACAATAATAATTTTTTTTTTTGGTACATGAAAAGAACAATAATAGAAATAAGTTGATGGATAATTATAGATTTATGCCATACGGAATCATAAATTATTTGATCCCCCAAGCTGCACTTTAAATTCATTCTGGCACTTTAAAATGCCGTAGTAGGATTTTCCAAAAAAAAAAAAAGTAAAAAAACTCAGTATATTTTTGATTTTTTAAAATAATTAAGCGTTAAAAATTGAGAATGCAGTAAATTGTTGTAATATTCAAATCTGCATTATATGAAAAGAAAAAAGCAAGGAAGAAAAATGAGGAAGTACTTGATCAAATGCAAATTGTATTTCGTGACTGACTCTTGAAAATTCAATTCCGGTAACGTTTTACTGTCAAAAATTTTCTCTCGATTTGAAGTATGAAATTTGTGCAATTATAAATGCTCTAAATGATCAGAAAAATTTTTTTCTGTTTCCTTTTTAGGCTACGATAAAATTTAATCTTGATAAAATAAATTTCAGTGCCAGTATTTAATTTAAATAAACTTTTTTCTCTTTTTTTGTTAAATAGATGTGATATGTGGAAGCAGAAATGATAGCCAATATACGCCTGCAATATTGATCTTCCCAATATCTACAATAATTAAAGATCTCAAATATTCCATAAATTATTTCATCTTTACTTCAATCCTTTTCTCTTATCATTATCCTACAATATGATCCATTTTATTCTTTTTGAAATTTTCAAAATTTCTTTCTTTTACCTAAGAAATGTAATATTTATGATATCGAAATTGCTGGCATAAATGTCTAATGAAATATTGTCCAAAATTTGTACTTTGTTTACAGTGAGCATTTAATATTTGTCTATTTTACGATGATAATTTCTGTTTCCATTAAATCTTTCTATTTTACTGAAGAAAAGAAAAATGAAAATCAAAAATTTGAGTAGCATATCCTTAAATCAAAGATATCTTCCGCATATTACACTTCAAAAAAAAAAGAAAAATCAATTCATTTATTTATCACTCTTAAAAGTATTCGTTATCACTTTCTTTTTTTTTTTGTCTTCACAAACCGTTACTATTCTAAGTGTAATTAGAATAGCATAAAATTTCATTCTTTTTTTGTTAAAAAAATTAGAGAAAAGGGAAAAAAAATTGAAATTAAATTTGTTTCGTACATTCTATTTGAGTACATTATCGATAGCATTGTATTTCATATTTGCCTCGTAAAAAACAGAAAATATTTATTCAATTCTAGGAATTAATTATATAAGCAATTCAATGTCATCTTTTAAATTATAGCTGATAAAAAAAAGATTTGAAGGGATAATCAATATCGCATAAATGGCCACGTAAGGCTTTTTCTTTCGACATTAAAATATCTCAAATGCAATAATAATTTTGCATTTCTATAAGGCGCAATTATCTATTCCATAATTGTTAATTCATTAATATTTTTTAAACCAAATATTATAATTCTATATGTGAGTGTAATAATATGTGATACGGAAATGTGCTCGAATAATTTACTACAGTGATTGATATTTGCTCAGCAAATGATGATTTGCAAAAAGTCGATTTATACTTATACAAATGTGTTTGTTGATTTTCAACTCATTTCATAAAATTTTGCTAATCGATTTTGTTTCGTTTATAACATTTATATTATTAAATAAGAATTCATTTATTCATAAATTATAAGTTTTGTTTAAACAGAAAAAAGGGTTGCCAAAATATCGCAATGAGAAGAAAAGTTTTATTTGAAGCTAATATTTTTTTTT